GCAGATCTAGGGGAGGGACCGGGGGGCCCCCTTATTTTGGGTGAAAAAAGAAGAAATGACTGAAGGAAGACAAGCCGGCAGGGTAAGTAAGCTCAAAGGCTGGATCCGCCACTGGACTGGGTACGAGTCTGCATCTAAACATTTCGTAGGCCGACCTCGCAATAACGACAGGTTAAATTTCGTACACCGCAACTTTTTGAAATGCTTACCTATTGTCGTTAAAGTCACAAAACAGTAGTAGAACGATTCAAACAACGACCACTCTTCCCACAACGAGAATAACACGGCACCAGCCGCTAAATATGTCGTAACCATGCTAAATACGTTCTTGAGAGTGAGATGAAACTCTTGGTTGTCGTTTATCGTTTGAAACTGTGACGAATCTTCATCTTTCTTCTCTTTTGCTGCTTCGTGTTGTCTTTTCCGCCGTAAATTTGCGGAGTGCAAGAATTGAAGGACGCTGAAAATAAAAACAGAATACTTTTTCCGTGTTTACATAGCCTCATCTAAACACGAGGAGGAGTCGGAGAATTCGAGACATTTATGCAGTGCTTACATACTCTCATCTAAACACATCTATCGACCAATGAGAGCGCGCGCGTAGTAGTTCAGTTATTTCATGAAATAACATAGTTCTTAGTAAGATCACAACTGCAAACCGAAATGTAAGAGAGTTAAATTTTCGGTAACTACAGCTGTAAGATCGACTATTATAACACTAGACTAGGCGAGAGTTGACATCTGCCTGGCAGACGAGAAAATTTTTCGTCGAGTTTTGTGACAATTTGAACAAGTTCAAATTTATTGGGAGAGCACGAGAACCGATGACAGCGAAGGAGAGTTGACAAGAAATTTTAATTAATAATTAACTGTGGATGATTTTTGCCTTTTAACGGCAACTTATCGGCTGAGGCCGCCTCCACGCTATTCTGGAGAAATTTGAAAACCAAAGGAGCTTTCGCTCTGAAAATGCATCAAATGTTTCCGTCCACATTACGCCGGAGAAATTTGAAAACACAACAATCGCTGGTCATTTTGGATTTGTGTTTGAGGAAAACTCGGGCAGGGAAATCACGTGATTATCGTAACGTCATCGCTTCCAAAATGTTTCCCGTCCAAACTACAACGCAAAGACTGTGTTTTCAAATTCCTCCGGTTTGAAGAGCGCTTTCGAAAAGCTCTGTTTTCTTGACGGTCCGAGACGGATTAGTGCGGACGGTAACGGCTACGGTAGGCCTAACCGTAGAAATTAAGCTGCGTTTTCAAATTTCTCCGGCGTACCAGCCCGGCTGACTCACCCTGTGATGAGAGATACTAGACTGGAAGCAACGACATTAAACAGCGGTATTCCAAGGA